AGAACTATTAAGAATCAGTTGGCTAAAATGTGTCAGGAAACCCAACTTAAGTGGAACGTTCTCTTGCCCATAGCTCTATTGCGAATCCGTAGTACACCTACCAGAAGGATGGGCCTCTCTCCTTTTGAAATCATGTACGGGCGACCACCTCCCGTGCTTGGTAACTTAAGGGGGGATTTGAGTCAGTTGGGAGAAGGAATTACCCGGCAGCAGGTTGTAGAGTTGGGTAAGACTATGGAGGAGGTACAGAAATGGGTACAAGATAGATTACCTGTGAATATTTATCCCCCAATTCATAGTTACCACCCAGGCGACCAAGTGTGGATTAAAGAGTGGAATAATGTGCCGTTAGGGCCCAAGTGGAGAGGTCCTTATGTTGTTCTTCTGTCTACCCCTACAGCGATAAAAGTAGCCGAAGTGGCTCCGTGGATACATCACTCCAGGGTTAAACCAGCAGCAGCCGATTCCTGGCAAGTTACAGCAAATCCAGAGAATCCCTGCAAGATCCGGTTAAAACGCACGACTCAGTCGGAGTGACGAGGAACCTTGTAGATTACAAATTTTATTGTTCCAGAGACTTGGTAAGTGAGTGAGAAGGCCATAATAAAGCCTGTCCACTCACCAACGAGTGTATAAGTCAGGGAAAGTCTTGAGGGGACCCCTGTGAAGACGAGCAGAACTCCATTCCCTGCAGTCCTTACATCCTGGAAGCTGAGGTGCCTTCACACGGACGAAGACTGAGGATGACGACGAAAGATGTATTTTTAATAATGTTTATTTATGTGTATTTTTATATTCAGGAAGGTAGAGGTACCAACACTCCTAGCTGTGAGGTATGCATTAAGACTACAAGAACAGGTAACCATATATCCCAGACCCTAATTTGGCATTCGCAATATGAGTGTAAAGGAGATGTATCAAGATGTAGATACTTAAATATAGAATATAGTGTGTGTCATTTAGGAGTAGGAGAACCTAAGTGCTTCAGTCCTGAGTATCAACCCCGTACAATTTGGTTGACTCTCAGAAATGGAGATTCTCAGGGGACCCTAATTAATAAGACGGTATTAAAATCCGTATATTCTTCAGGTGCTCTGCTATTTGATGCGTGTAAAGCAATATCAAGTGGTAGAAAGCCGTGGAATGTATGTGGGGATCTTAGATGGGAGAGGACGTATGGGTCTAACGATAAATATATTTGTCCCAGTAGTAAAAATAAATATGTAAGTCCAAGATGCCCAAATAGAGATTATAACTTCTGCCCATATTGGTCTTGTGTGGGGTGGGCGACTTGGGGACAGACAGCAGACAAGGACATGATTGTGACTAAGTTGTCTACTGATCCATATTGTAAGTCTATGGAATGCAATCCAATCCATATACTTATAAATAACCCTGACAAGTTCTTAGATAAATATGGTAATTTATTTGGGTTTCAAATATATGGGGCGGGTTTAGACCCTGGGACAATATTGTTTATAGGGATAGAGACTGATACGGTAACCTCCCAAACTCATCAAGTATACCATTCCTTTTATGAAGAGATGAGCATAGATAATAAGATCCCCCATAATGCTAAAAACTTGTTCATTGATTTAGCCGAGAGTATTGCCGGTAGTCTTAATGTTACCAACTGCTATGTGTGTGGAGGTACTAACATGGGAGACCAATGGCCTTGGGAAGCAAAGGAGGTAATGTCCGGTTCTGAGGCAGTTGACCAATTAATATCTACACAAGCCGACTATCATATGAGTGTTAGAGGTAAATCTGAGTGGAGATTGAAGACCTCCATCATAGGTTATGTTTGCATAGCGAGGAAAGGAATGATGTATAATACTTCTGTAGGAGAATTAACTTGTCTAGGGCAAAAAGCTTATGATGATGATACAAAGAATACAACTTGGTGGTCGGCTTCAAATGTCTCAGAACCATCTAACCCGTTTGCAAGATATGCCAATTTAAAGGACGTATGGTTTGATCTATCCATCACATCTAACTGGAGAGCCCCAGCCAATTTGTACTGGATCTGTGGTAAGAAGGCCTATTCGGAGTTACCACAGGACTGGGAAGGGGCATGTGTGTTGGGTATGTTAAAACCATCCTTCTTCTTGTTGCCTATTGAAACAGGTGAGACTTTAGGTGTTAAAGTGTATGATGTGAATCATAGGAAGAAAAGGGGACCCATAGAGATAGGTGCCTGGGAAGATAATGAATGGCCTCCCCAGCGTATTATAGATTATTATGGGCCAGCCACGTGGGCAGAGGATGGTACCTTTGGTTATAGAACCCCTATTTATATGCTCAACCGCATTATAAGGTTACAGGCGGTGGTTGAGATCATTACTAACGAGACATCACAAGCGCTCAATCTTCTAGCGAAGCATAATACCAGGATGAGGACAGCAGTTTACCAAAATAGATTAGCCTTGGATTATCTTTTGGCAGTAGAGGGAGGTGTATGTGGGAAGTTTAACCTGAGCAATTGCTGTCTTCAAATAGATGACGAAGGGCAAGCAATAGCTGAGCTTACTAGCCATATGGTTAAACTAGCGCATGTGCCTACTCAGGTATGGAAAGGGTACAATCCAAGTAGTTGGTTTGGTAGCTGGTATGAGTGGTTTGGAGGGCTTAAGGCAGTGGTAGGTGGAGTCCTACTGATTTTAATGTTGTGTCTACTCCTGCCGTGTCTTATACCCTTAGTAGTTAGGTCTGTGCAAAGCCTGATAGAAAATATAGCAGAGAGGAAGGCTGCTGCACAGATAATGGCAATTTATAAATATAAGGCTCTAGATCAGGGAGAACCAATGCAGGAAGACGAGTGTTGAAGATTCACATCATAGGATAAGTCTGGTCTGGTTCAAAGGTAACTTGTGGTGTATGCAAACCAAGGTTAAGTGATGCCTCAAGTAATTGTAAAATATCAAGAGGCATCAAAGGGGGGAATGTGGTGGAATCTCGGTAAAAATAAATTTAGTAGGCCGAGATTACCACGTGGCATGTGTACGTGCATATGCTGACGTATCGATCAGTTGGTTGCACGAGGCAAGATACGATCAGTAGTGTACGGAGCATGTGCAAGAATACAGGATGTAGTATTCCCCTCCTCCATTGTGCTGGACAAGCCATGCGGTCAAGCAGGAAGTTAATTCTTATTTGTAATGATTGGTCAAGAGAATGTGCGGGTGGAGCTTAATATGGGAGGAGTTATGTGCCTATATAGGGAGCCTGCACTATTGTTCAGGGCTCAGAACTTGCTGTATTTTTGGTGACATTAGTCCCTCTGAGTCCCGATCGGTGATCCAATAAAGAATCTCTTCCTTCCTGAAGAAACCTGTGTCCATCCCTCTGTGCTTTGCTTCCGTCAGTTTCTCCGGTATCAGTACCCCACTGGTGACAAGTCCAAGCTTCGAATATATTCCATTAACTACAACCCTCTGTTGCCTGTCACTCAGCCACTGCCTTACCCATTCAACAATATTGGAATCCAAACTTAAATATTGCAGTTTATTGATAAGCCTTCTATGTGCAACAGTGTCAAAAGCCTTACTGAAATCTAGGTAAGCAATGTCTACTGCACCACCCTGATCTATAATTTTAGTTACCCAATCAAAAAAATCAATAAGATTAGTTTGGCATGATCTCCCTGAAGTAAACCCATGTTGTCTCTGATCTTGAAATCCATGTGTTTTAGATGTTCAACAATCCTATCCTTTAACATGGTTTCCATCACTTTCCCCACTACTGAAGTAAGGCTTACTGGCCTATAGTTGCCCGACTCCTCCCTATTACCTTTCTTGTGAATGGGCACAACATTCGCTAACTTCCAATCTTCTGGGACTACTCCTGTTAACAATGATTGGTTAAATAAATCTGTTAATGGTTTTGCTAGTACACCACTAAGCTCTTCCATTAAATTCAACCATTTAACACGCCAATTGGCACACATACACACACATAGACACAAAAGTACGGATACACAGAGTGGTTATTACAGTATGTCATGTGTGCTGGAAATGCAGTGTGTCTGTGTGTGCTTGGAATGTAGTATGTCTCTTGTGGCAAAACTAGCCACTTGGACTAACATGGACAATATGTTTTGAAAGGTTGCCTGCATCTTTAGTGTGATTTCGTGTGTGCCCTGGCTGTAATATGCTTTATCCTGTATGTTTCATTGACTTTGTCAGCTATCTGCCGAAAGCAGATAGCCTTACTGTATTTCGTTTCACGAACAGCGCCTTTCCAGGCTGTTCGTGAACCGAATGAACTATCTTTTAATAGCCCACACACTAAGGGACGTGTGGCGATTGTTAACCGATTGCAACAATGAGCTCCGATTTGCCATTGGGGTCCCCCATCGGTGTTCGGTATTTTGGGGCGAACTCTATGGCAAAGTGTATTTCGTGCGGCGTTCGGTTGTTTTAGCTGGGATCTGAGCGGTGTTCTCACAAACTGTGCATTCCGACCCCAGCTATCTACCGAACGTCCATTCGTTTAAATCTGCAAAGTATTCTTGAAGTTATAGATTTTAATGTAACTTGTCGGTTCTGCTGCACGGAGGGATAATCCACTTAACGGTACATTCCAGTGGGAGTGTCCCTCTCGTGCAGCAGTGCCTGATGGGAGAAATGCCCTGTACATTAAGTTTCCCATGTAGTCCACTCCTGTAATGCCCCTGTGATGTGACTCAGGAAACCCCTTGCATGGGGAATTGTATAAATACTGGAGAATGCGAATAAAGACCTCAGTTGACTCCCAGAACTGTGTTTCGTCCGGTTACTGGGGGATTTGGGACATTGCCTTACATTTCAGCGCTTGACTGTGGATTACCTTCTTTACCAGCGGAGTTCGTGGGATTTAATATTGCCGATCCGCTACAATTGGTGACAAGCGACGGGATCTAACCTTACAGCCGAAAAGCGCTGTTCGGATAAAGAGAAACTACCGAACGAGAAAAGGGAATGGCAATTCGTATGCAGCAAACAGTCGAAAGAGAAAAGTGAATGGGGACGGATTACACTACACTGAAAAGAGAGACACTGAAAGAACTGCTGGAAGCCAGAGGGAAGATAGCTAGCAACAAGTCGAAAGCCGTGCTGATCGCCGAACTGATGGATCGAGACAGAGCTCACAACAGCACACCAGCCAGGGAGGAAACCCCATACCAAAGGGAGATGCGAACCCGGATGGAGTTTTTACCCCAGCCAGTATACCTGGAAATCTTGACGGTCCTGATGGCGGATGTGCAGGAGTACGTGATGGCACACTACCCACAGGAGGCACCGTCCAGGGCAGAATCCATCACTGCCTCCATCTACGGTCAGGTAAAGCCTAAAATTCCCTATCATGCCATCAAAATGTTTTGTGAGGAGAAGGATGAGATTGATGGGTGTGGTGACATTCTGTCATCAAACTAATATGGTGACCAGGGGTCATGTGACCAAGCTCATGTTTGCTTTTCTTACAGTGGGATAAGCTTTACCCTTTTGAAATGTTAATTGGTAATTCAATACCTTTACAAGTCAGGAAAGAGATAACCACTTCCCCCTTTCTCCATTCCTCTCTGTTCCTTCTTGGCTGTGCTGCAGAGCAGATGTGCAGACGCCATGGGCTAGCATGGTGAACCATGTTACACTCTGTTGCTTCCTTTTCTTCCTTGGTGGATGTGATGTTGAACTTGCAGCAGTGAGCCATTACTAGATGTGAAGGCCTAACCGTGGGTGAGATCAAGCGTGTGTGTAAGGGGTTACTATATACATAGATAGATTTAAAAAGGGTTGTTGCTCCGTGGGTCTGGGCTGTGTGTTTGTGATACATTTATAGTATTGTGTTGTTGCCTTTTAATAAATACCTTTTAATGTAGACGAACCTTGTGTGTATATATATTAATTTGGTGATACACCACATTTGGCGACCACGAATTTTAGACTTCTACAAAGGTTATTTATGAGGTAATAACACAGTAATAGATAGTCAGATTTATTTTTTGGGGGAGAAAAAAAAAAAAAAGGACTTTGTTTAATTATCCTCTACATGGGAAATCAAGGACTGATTGTGTGTGGAGTCTAGTTTGGGCCTCCATTTTAATATACAAGCTTGGGCATCAGGCCTCAATTTTGAATATATTAGTTTTTTTTGTGTGTTTCAAATACCTGAGTTTGTACTACCATAGCTCAGGCCTAGTATTTTTAAAGTATTGGTGATAAAAGGGGAAAATTGAATAGCATTGGATTTTGGCCATTTTTAATTGCCCATGTGCTGTATTGTCTCTCTTGTTGCAACTAACTAGAATGAAACTTAATCTTTTTAATTGTTTTCTTAGGTGTTAAATTGTGGGGCTTCACTGCATTCTAAGTTAAAATAGCAAACTTTTTTTGTTGTTATCGTTTGTCTGTTTGAATCATTGAATTCAGGATAGGAGCATAATGTTTGTGCATTATGACTGACAGAACGTATTTTGTTGCAAATTGTAGCATTTATAGTTTAATTTTGTTTATGCACAGTTTTAAAGTATTGGTGATTAAAGGGGAAGATTGAATAGTTGCACTGCATTGGTACTATTGATGTTTCGTCCATTTTTAATAGCCCATGTGCTGTATTGTCTCTCTCTCCTGTTGCAACTAACTAGAACTAAACTGAATATATTGTAATTGTTTTTAGATGTTACATTTTGTACATTTTGTGGCTTCCCTGCATTCTAAGTTTAAATAGCAAACTGTTTTTTTGGGGGTTATCTTTTGTCTGTTTGAACCATTGAATTCTGGGTAGGAGCATTGTGTTTACATGATAAAGGTATTGGGGCTAATACAGTGTGGTGGCTATTGTTTAGCCAGGCTAACATTTCCATTTTTACACTGGAGTGTGTTTAATAGAAAATGAACAGTTTGTATTTGAGGTAAAGGTGCCTATGTTAGATTGTTATATGGTTGGGAATTATCATTGTGCTGAAGTTACAGTCAGGTATTTTCCAGTTCCCATACCTTCCTTTAAATCATTCTGTTTATTTGTAGACCCCCCACACTGCACTTAAACAAAGGCAGAAGGGTGGTTTTGTGTTTTGCTGCCTGTGGGCATTTGTTGTATTGAGACTGTGAAGTTTTTTTGTTTTTTTTCTCAAAAGACAAGAGTTTGTTTGAATAGGTTAATGTAATTAAGTTTCTCAAATGGTTCAATCTCTTTGGAGCAAGTTTCAGTTTTTTTAAATTAATCCCATTGTTAAAAGCTTGTTGTTTTTTTTACTTAGTCTACTGGTCTATTTCGATTAAAGACTCAGGGAGAGGTCGGTTTTAAAATGTCATATCTAGGTACTAAGTATTTTTCTGCAGAAGTACTAGAGTACTTCAAGAATGACATTGACAAACATGATGGACCATATGAGCTTCCAGAACCAGCAGGCCCCAATTGTGGAAAATATGAAGGTTTCATGGATGTTTTGACACAGATTGTTACTAATAAAAAGTGCCATATTAAGAAAAGGAAAAGCTTGGTGGCACAAGCGGTTGTTGCTGCAATAGGGGGTTTGGCAAGCATGGTACTCGAATTGCAGCAAGCTAATTTAGTAACCACTAATAAAATGGAAGATGCTCTTGATGAAAGAGATTGTTTTAAAATAGCTGCCCTGAGAACAAACAAAATGACCGAGGGGTTGGAGAAAGAATTAAAGGAAATAGAACAACAGAGAGATGCATATAGTGCTAAGATCACTGAACTCCAAAACCTTGTCATGGAATATAAAATAAAAACTAAAGAAAACATAAATAAATGGGATAAGGAGATTCCTAAAGAATGCCCAGGCCAGTCTCATTTTATATCTAAAAGTACAGAACCAGTGCTCACAACCAAACACAAGGGAAATGCGACAGTTGTTAACTGTGTCCCACAAGCCCCTTTAATAATAACTGAACATTTTAATGTAAGAGAAATGCCTACTAGCTTCTCTAGACAGACAAGGACTATGTCAATCACAGACAAAGATAATTTCCAGAAATGGTGGGGAAGTATGCCAACTGACGACTTTAACACCTTTACACATTGGTTTATGAGGGGAGCAAATAGAGCAAAAAAAGGAGGTCTTAACTTAGAAGAATGGACAGAACTGTTAGAATATGCTATGGGTCCTTTGGCTAGCAGACTATTTGGATTTAATAACAGTGTGTCTGACCAGGCAGGAAGAATTGCTGCAACGATTTTCTATCTACTCAGCATAGAGAAAGAAATAGTTAATATTATGATGAGGCCAGCAGATGGTCCTAGAGAGGTAGCTCAAAGGATATTGTTCTGGTATACGCTACGCCAACCTCAACAGCCTCTGGTCTTGGGCTCACCACAACATATTACTAAAGTAATGGAAGCCCTTCCCTTGGAGTGTCAAGAATTTGTGAGGCTTTTTGATCCAACACCAGCAGACTTAGAAATGGTACTAACTAGAGCTGACAATTGGTGGATCAAGCATCCTTCCTCGGAACAGGCCTTCTCTGTTTCAGCTATAAGAACATTCAAGGTCGACTCTGGTAGAGATATAGATGGTAAATGGAGAAGCCAGAGGTGGGATGTACCCCAGAACAAGAGGGATAATGAGAACTGGAGACCAAAACAGGACTTTGACAAAAGATGGAGAGATCCACAGAGGGACCATATGAATGTAATGGGAGATAACTGGAGGAATAGATGGGAGGGGCCTAAGGTAATCAATAATTGTAATAATAAAAATACCTGGGAGAGGCTAAAAAGGACAGATATTAACTGGGAAAATCACAATTGGGGAGAAAAACGGAGAAACAACAGGAACAGTTATTGGGAGAATAATTGGAGAAGGAACCATAGATGGGATGAGCATCAGACCAATAGACGAAATTGGGATAATTGGAGGAATAAAGAAGGGAATACAGACTACTGGGACCTAAAGAGACAGACTGAGAGATTGGAGGCAGACGTGAAAGTGCTTAGGGAACAGATGAGGAAGGGAAATACTGATCAATTGGGGGTCCCCAGCAATGAATAACTCCCATAATTTTTGTTGTCCTCTACATCCTATGTATGTTTGTTTTTCTTTTGTTTTGTTCTTTCTCTCAGTCTTCCAGTCTCCCATTTAGCTATTCCTTTCTAATGATGAGATCTAGTGTTCCCACAGAGCAAGGCAAAGCTGTATTAGGATGATGATGTGTGTCAACAGAAGATCGTAGTGGATCCTTGTTACAGGATGGATAAGTATACGCTGTATCACAGTAGGGATGGGAGACAGGCAATACGGCCAGAAGATACTCCAAATAAGGGAGAAGATTACAGTCTATATTTTAATAATCCTTCTATTCCTCCAAGGTGTCCAGAACAACGGCGACAGTGTTTTAGGCAAAGCAGGGTGTCAGGAAAAATGGGACAATTTGCAGCTCTACTGGGAGGAGTCGGAACTGGATTGAGAGTATGGAATTCTGCAAATATCACATCCAGTCCTACAAACTTTGCTGCTAGTACTCATGCTAAATAGATGAGGAAGAAACTTGAAAAGGGGGATTTTTTTTTTTTTGTTTGTTTCTCTCTCTCTTTCTCGCTCTCTCACACATTCTTCAATTTACATTGCACACACACACTCTCACCTACATTCTATAAGTTCTGTTTTTTGTGACACTTTGTATAACACGTGAATTGACAGCCATAGGAAAGTACAGGAGAACTTATGTCGCTGAGGGAACTATTCCGGAGGGACGGTGGGTTGAATTTCTCCTGTATATCAGGTTTTTGCTCCCACTAGGTTTTCCTGTACTAGAGGGATAACTAGATAACGGAGCAACATAAAAGAAGAAAAAGTGGGGGAATGTGGGGTGATGCAACCCCTATTTGACTGTTTTCTTTCACCCTGCTTATATCACTCACTATAATTCCTGTGCTCCCCTTTCCTACTTCAGATCTCATAGTTTAGATAGAAGGGATAAATTATTATTTTTAAATGTGCTCAACATAAGAGAAGAAAAAGTGAGGGAATGTGGTGACATTCTGTCATCAAACTAATATGGTGACCAGGGGTCATGTGACCAGGCTCATGTTTGCTTTTCTTACAGTGGGATAAGCTTTACCCTTTTGAAATGTTAATTGGTAATTCAATACCTTTACAAGTCAGGAAAGAGATAACCACTTCCCCCTTTCTCCATTTCTCTCTGTTCCTTCTTGGCTGTGCTGCCGAGCAGATGTGCAGACGCCATGGGCTAGCATGGTGAACCATGTTACACTCTGTTGCTTCCTTTTCTTCCTTGGTGGATGTGATGTTGAACTTGCAGCAGTGAGCCATTACTAGATGTGAAGGCCTAACCGTGGGTGAGATCAAGCGTGTGTGT